GGCCCCGTGCCGGCCAGGCTCTTGCCCACAGCTTGCACCTGCATCCTGGCGCCCAGCGCCCTCCCCGTGCCCCAGGACATGCCCCCGCGGCGCCCCCCGGTGCTGGTGCAGGGGACGCAGGACACCAGCACCGCAGGGCAGCACGGCGCTGCCATTGCCCCCTTGCTGAGCAGGCGCACGGCGCTGGCGGAGGCAGCTGGGCCCGTGCCCGTGCCCGCAGGGGTGGCATGGCCATGCCCACAGCTCTGCTGGCACAAGCGCCGATGGCAGAACGTCTGTGGTGTCTGAGCCTGGAACTCGCCAGGGCCCAGGTGCACGGCTGATCCGGACTAGGGGTAAGTCGCTGGGATCCAGTCTGGCCCCGTCGGGGCTCAGCCCCCTCCATTCAGCAGTGCAGCAGGAGCCATTGAAGGGGTCGGGAGCCGCCGGCTTGCCTGGGCCTTGCTGGCACGGGCACGGGACAAGCGCACGCTGCCCACGGCCGAGGGAAGAGCGCACCTCCTGCATGTCCGGCCTTTGCGCTGGCGTTCCTGTGCTGCCCTCGTCCCCAGCATCGTGTGCCTGCCCAGGCTGTGCTCAAGCTGGCACACCTGTCCCCATCACGGCAGTGTGGGGACAGGTGCGCCTGGGCGCACGTCGGACATGGCCAGCTGAGCTTGGGCCGAGTGCCCAGATCACCAGTCGGCTTTCTAGGAGGCTGCCTCGGGTGGAGATGCTGCCGTAGCCCCATCGCGTTGCGGCGCAGAAATGGCGCTGGCTTGTAGCACGCTTCGCTGCCGCTTTACAGCTTTGTAGACGATTTCCTTTTGGGCTGAGTTTTCCCTTCTCGTCTCAGCCCAGCCCTGCTTGTTTTGTTCAAGCTTCACTGCTCTCGTGCCTGGTGTGCAGGGTTTCCTTTGGTTTTCCTCGTGGCTCGGGTACAGAAGAGGAGGGGGAGGAAGCTCCACTCAAAAACTAAAATCTTTTTTTAAAGCCAAGTAACAAAAGCCGTTTGGATCTGAGACCACAGAGCTGCTGCAAGCATCACCCTGCGCACCCAGACAGCATGAGTGGCAAGACAGGATAGGATGTGGGTTTGCTAGGTCTGCGGAAACAAAAATAAATGTTTGCAAGATAAAGAACATGCAGCCAAGCGAGAGCTGTGCACGGCAGGTGCCGGTGCTTGACGGTTCCTGCTCGCTTTGCATGAGTGCCGGCAGTTCCCATGCTCGGTGAAATCCGTGCAGGAGCCCGCCTAGCTTTGGGCAGGTTCCTGACAGTCGGTGAGACTGTGCTGCTCCCGCGCTGCCAGCACCTCTTTACCAGCAGGGCACAGGCAGGCCCCGGAATGGCCGCCTGCACGCACGGTGCAGGGTCGCCCGGCCGCGAGCACGCACGAGCTAGGCGAGAGCTCTCGGTCCCCGTGTCAGCCGGGACGCGGCGAAGGGCGCGGCCCAGAGGCCTCGGCGACCTCCGTGCTCCGGTGGTGAGAGCGCGGGAGCTCTTGGAGCAGCCTTCAGGGAAAGGTTTACGTCAGGGCTTGCTGCTTTCCTTCTCCCTTAGTTGTGTTAGTGCTGCTTCAAGGCTGAGATCGTAATGGCTTGAGACAGGAAATCCGTGGGATTGGTTCCTGTTCCCAGTCGCGTGGTGGAGCTGGCCAGGCCGCTTGTGCCCCTGCCTGGGCAAGGTCTGCTTGCAGCTTGAATTGCGAGGCATGGAAGGGGCAGGAGTAGCTTTCCTGGGCAGTCCCTCCTGCAGCAGCTCTCCCTGCCGTGACCAGGTGCCAGCCCCCTGCCCGCACCAGAGGTTCGGTTCAGGGAGCCCCGTGTATCGCGGCCTTGTCTGCAGTGTGAGAGCTAAAAACAGCAGCAGCCGGCCAGACCGCGCCAGCCCCTCCATCCAGCCCCAGTTCTGCCCCTCGCCTGGGAGCCGGCAGCAGGCCCCGAGCGCAGGCCCAAGGCTGCAGCCCCGAACCGGAGCTGGCGAACCAGCTGAGCTCCCAGAACATGCCCCTGATGTTGTGTAACCGGCTGCAGCCACGTTTCAGACCAAACAATCTTCCTCTCTGTGGGCTTCCCATAAAGAAGGGAGAAAAAAATCTATTGTGGCTGAAGGAGCCACACTGGCAGCTCTGCTGTGCGGGTGTGGCAGGCAGCCCTGCTCGCAGGGATGTCTGTGTTTGCCTGCAGCAGCTCTCCCAACAGCATCGCTTCTCGGTGCAGAGGCTTTAGTGGTGCTGGCTGAATGCAGCGCAGCCCGGGCCAGGGGCCTTCAGGAGAGGCAGACTCCAGAGCCCGCTGCAGCAGCTGCTTGCCCTTGGCAGCAGCAGCACGTTCAGCAGCATCCCTGAGGCGCAGTTAGCTACTGAAATTGCAGCATGAATGCACAGGGCACACTCGTTCCTGGGGCTGGGAGCTAGTGCCGTGGTGGAAATAATTAGAAGACAAAGGGTTTTAACTGGATTGCCACCATCCCTGCCCCCTCAGCCCCGTTCCCTATCGCCTTGCACAGCTGGCAGCGTGGCGCAGGGTCCGGCTTTCGTTTGGGGAAACGCTGCTGGCTTTTGCCCCTCTGAGATTCTGAGCGAAGTTAAAGCAGACGCTGCTCTTCCCGCACAAGCGCCACGGCGCAGGGCCCCGGGCATGCTGGCCCCTGCAGCTGCGGCGCGGGGGGGCCGGACAAAGCCCCACAGAAGCAGTGGCTGTTGTGCTGTTCACCCTGCGCCTGGGGAGGGGGTGGGGGTGGGGAAGGCAGGTTTCCCCGCCCTGGGGCCATCGCATTACATCTTTGCGTCCGTCTGCTGCTACCCTGGGCTGAGCTGCGGAAGCTCGGGGAGCCCCCGGCTCTGGCCGTGGCAGGGGGCCCCCGGGGACGCTCCCTCCTGATGACCTCCCTGCTCTGCCTGCCTGGGGCCGGCTGCGGCTCCACAGCAGGAGAGATGAGGAGGCTCCAGAGCCAGTCGAGCAACTCGCTGTCTTGCTCAGTCACAGCCCCTGGTCCCCACACAGGGCTAGTTTTCACATGTGCCACATCCACCTGCCCAGGCCAGACCAGTGCGTGGTCGGGTGAGAGACCCAGACAGCCCCTGCAAGCTGCCCGAGCGCCCGGGCACAGGTACATCGCCAACCTCCTCCAGCTGGAGCAGCGGCAGCGTATGTTGGCTCCAGGCCACCGTCAATAGCAATTGTTTTGTTCCGAGTTGGGAAACTTCAGCTTTCCCTAAATTAGCACCGTGGGCTGCAGCCTGTTGTTCTTGGCCTGGAGCTCCGGTTCTGCAGGGTCAAGCTGAAGCTGCCTCCCCGCCTCCCCCTGGGCCTGGCACAGCTGTCCGTGCCGCCCAGGCTGCCCGCTGTGGCTCCCTGCTCCTGCGGCGGGCGGGAGGCGCTCTGCTCCAGCCTGCCTCCGCGCGCCCACCCTGGAGCACAGGGCAGGGGCGCTTCACTTGACCGTGCTCACGCTCCGTGCTGGCTGCTGCCTGGGAAGCTGCGCCCCACAAGGAGCTCCGCGCCCTCGGCCACCTGCGATGGCTCTGGCGTTTGCGGCATTTGCCAGTTCTTAGGAAGAGGTCAGCTTTGCAGGGGCATGAACACTCCCCTGGGCTTGCGCCCCAAGCACCCCCTCACTCCAGGTTCGGTTTGCACCAGTCGACTCTCCTTGGTGTCTGCTGACAACTTTTGGGGGGCACCGGTGTGACCCCTTGCCCCTCATGGAGACGATGGTCTTCACTCCTGCTGGTGCCACGGGGTTCAGTCCTGATCTGCGGGGACACCCAGCCGAGCCCTGCGTAGGGTAGGGAGCCTGGCCCCGAGCAGCTCCTGGCTTTGCCTGGGCAGGCAGTGCCAGTCGGCAGCTGGTGTCTCTGGAGCAGAGGCGCGTGCTTGTGCCTGGGTGGCCTTGGCATCCTAGGAGCACGGAGGCAGCTGCCAGCTGGGCCGTGGCGCCTGTCCCGAGCCTCCACAGGCCAGAGATGGTCTGGCAGGGGACTTGTCCCCGCTGTTCATCTTCAGAAGAGCCATGAGGCTCTGCCTTGGCAAACATGAGGGCAGTTACTGGTTTCCCAGGAGCACAGCCTGCACCAGGCCGGCATGGACCTGCACAGACCTCGCGCCCGGCAGAGCCTGGGCTCCCCCAGGTGCCAGCATGGCTCCAGAGGGGTAGGGCTAGCGATCGGGAGCAGCAGCCGCGGTGGTCAATTGCTGGACCCCCAGGACAGACTGCGGCCGTGTCACGGCTGAGTGCTCGTCCTGCCTGTCGGCGCCTGCCGGGCCTGGTGGCTGGAGCCCCGGCGTGTCGCTGTCTGGCGTCCAGGGCCTGCGGGGCTGAGAGCGCGCGAGGCAGGAGCTCGTTATCTGGTCCTGGGAGGGGCTGCACAAAAAACCAGGGCAAGGGGGGGGAATTGCCTGCTGTGTGTCCCGGGTGCTGCCCGGCCGCTCACGGCTCTGTTTCTTTCCAGCTGGCTGGGTCGGCCGTTGTCGCCTTCGGGCTGTGGCTGCGCTTCGGCGGGGTCATGGGCAACATCGCATCGGAGCAGAAGTCCCCGGAGTACATCTACATGGGTGAGTGCCCCTCCGGTAGCTGCCCCTCTGGCTCGCCCACGCAGGGGCACCTGCTGCCTCCAGCCGTGCAGTGGTGACAGCCACTCCCAGGTCTCCTGGGGCCACTTCCCAGCCCAGCTCTGGGGCGGCGCTGGCACTGATGGACCAGGACCTGCCCCTGCCCCGGCCCTGGCAGCAGCTCACAGCCTCTCGGGTGCAGCGCGGCATGCGCTGGAAGCAGCAGCGAAAGCGCAGTCCCCGGCGTGGCAGAAGGCTGCCCTGCACATGCCTGCAAAGGCTTTCTGCTCAGCACCGCTCCCTGTCCCTGCGCACGCCAGACCCCAGGGTCACCTCTGTGGCTCAGGGCTAATCCTGCCCTGGCTGTGAGGGCCGCAGCCCATGCTTGCCTCTGGAGCCGCCTCCCAGCCAACATGCAGCCAGTTTAGGAAGCTGCCAGGGATCTTGTTCAGTCTGAACGGTGGAACGGTTCCCAGGAGTTTCCAGATGCGCTTTTCAAGCAGTGCCGGGTCTTGCTGGAAGCTGCAGCTGTACGTGCATGTCCGTGCCTGGGCAGTGCTTTCGTGCCACCTGGCCCTGGCTGCGCGCTCCCGTCCTCCACCCGCTGTCACCCGCACCACAGGGCGTCCTTTCCCCTGACCCCGCGCCAGCGAGTCGGAGTCCCTCTGTTCTCAGCTCTTGTTGCTTGAGACAGCTCCACCCCATAGCCTGGCATCCTGCTCCTCTCCAGGGTGCAGTGCCAGGGGCCGGGGCACGCCTGCGCTGGAGGCCTCGCCCCGCTGAGCTGGCAGCCAGGTTGCTCCGGGCAGTGGCTGGGAGTGAATGCTGAGTGCATGCTGAGCCCTTGCGCAGCACCAGGCATCCCAGGATGGAAATCCCCCATTATGCTGTCCCGTTGCTGCCCAGCCCCCCTTGAACTGCTAGGCAGTGACCCCACTCTAAGCACTAACTGGGGGCTCCAGGTTCAAGGTTGCGGCGGCAGCCCCTCGGAGCCCGCCAGCGGTGCAGGGTCAGGTCGTTGCAGCGAGGGCAGTGCCCTGGCGAGGACTCAGCTGCACGTCAAGGGCTGAAGCAGGACGGGATTCCTGCTCCTGCTGGTCGGTGTTTCTGGAGCAGCACAGCGGAGCACGCCAGGCGCCAGCTCTCCCTGCTGCCCGAGTCCAGTGGCCCCAGCGAGCTCCACTCCTTTGACGCCAGGGCTGAGCTGGTTTCCCCCTCGTGCTTTCATTTGTGGTGAGGTTTTTCCTGAACCCGAGTCTTTTTTTTACGCTCCAGTAATTGATAATTACAGCCCTGCCTTTTCCACTTGGCCGGTGTGAGCCACGCCAGACAGCCCTGCCCTGTCCCGGCAAGCAGGCCGCCTCCCTGCCCAGCTTCGGCCCTGGCTCCTGCTCATCTTTTCCAGGCCGAGCGTGGGCTGGGCGGGGGCGAGGCACCGGTGGCAGCGGGAGGAGACGGGGACGTCGCTGTTGCAGGCCTGGGGCTGCCTGTGGTTTTGTCTTTGGCGGTTCGGGTTCCTCGTGACAGTTCGTTATTTTGAGGCGACTGGGTGTGAGCGCAGGGCTGGCAGGAAGTGCACATCTGGTGTCATGGTAACCGACCCCTCCGGCGGCCACCTCGCGTGGGCTGACTCACACCGGGGTGAAGGTTAGGGTGACGGCAAGGCTCTGCCTGTGTCTGGGCACGTGGGGCCTCCGTGCAGAAGCCGGCAGCCCTGATCCAGGGCACAGGACGCCCGCTGAGGTGCCCAGGCTCCTGCGCTGGTGCTGCGAGGTGTGCAACGGGGCAGGCGCTGTCCTGGTCCAGCCGGGCGCCAGCCCCTGGGGACGGGTCTCGGGGGTCCTGAGGAGTCCTTGGAAGATTCCTCCTTTGGCTGCCCGCGGCAGGGACGTCCCACGCCAGGAGCTGCAGCACGCGGGGGCCTGAGCCCGGATGAGCAGGGGAGGGCGCGTTCCTGCCACGCCGGGCTGGGGCGCGAGGAGGGAGCTGCTGTGGGGATGTGCCAGGGCCAGGGCCAGGGCCAGGGCAAGGCCCGGCCGTCCGGGCAGAGCAGAGAGGCTCCTTTCTGGCAGGCAGGAGGGCTGCGTCCACGCAGCCCCTGTGAAGCGAAGCACGAGGCCCTGTCCCTGCCAGCTGCGAGGGAAATCCAGGCGGCAGGCCCTGCCAGGGAGGGAACTGGAAAACCCATCTGTCTGTGCCGGAGGCAGCCTGGAGAAGGGCTCCGTGCTGCGTGCCCCTCCCCGGCTGTGGCGCTGCCTGCCCTGCTCCCGCCCCGTGCCGCGGGGCTGCAGCCGCGGGGCCTGGCGAGGGCCGGGGCTCTCCCTCCGGCCGTACGCAAGCTCACCGGGGACAATGCCTCGGGCATGAAGTCACGTCTGCGGCAGGAGACTGGCCCTGCAGCAGCGGGTGCCCCGGCAGGCAGGAGCAGCCCAGCAACACGGGGCCACGCAAGCCGCTGCCATCTGCTCTGTGCAGGCCCTGCACTGGGGCTGCCTCCCCGCGTGTACAGGGTCAGGCCCGGATGGAGTCAGCAGCTGTCAAGACGCTGCCTCGGCCCCCTGCCACCGTCCGCCTGGGCTGGAGCTGCTCCCTCCTGCAGCATCTCAGCGGGGACTGACCCAGCCCCAGAGCCACGGGACACGGCGAGTCGGGCGCCAGCCACGCCTGGCGAGACCCGGAGCTCTGGCGTCGCTCGCACGCCGCCGAGTGCCACAGTCCCGCAGGCGCCTTGCTCAGACGCTGGCTCTGTGGCTCCGGCACCTCTGAGCCGAGTACGGTCCTCGCGTGCCCGCTTCTTACTCGGGCTCCCCTCTGCGGTGTGAATGTGCTCGGGACAGGACCCGGGGCCCGGAGGGGCAGAAGTGGGGAGCCCCACAGAAGGGGTAGGTGGCTGCTCTGCCCCAGGGTGCTGCTGCTGCTGATTGCCACCCTTTGCTCTCTGTGATCCCCCATCACACAGACAGCCGCAGAACCGGGCTCGGGCTGGGGCGGCAGCTGCTACCTCTGAAGCGTCGGTGCTGCCGTGGGTCTCGTGCAGTGGTGGCTGGCCGCGTAGAGCGGCAGAATGATAATCTCTGGTATTGAATCTCTGCCTTCAAGAGCTGCTTGCAAGGGCCCCGAGGCAGCCAAGGGCAGGTCCCTTGCTGCCTTTCTCACTGTGCCCCTGAAATGGGGCCGTGCCCTGCTCCCCAGCATGCACACGCACACACACACACAACCATGGTGTCGCTCGCAGCTGGAGGGGCCCGTCCTGCCCATCGCTCGCGGCTCGGGTGCTGGAAGGCTGCCTCAGGGCTCGGGACAACAGCGCCATTCATGCCTGCAGGCGGCCACACAGAACGCCATTATCCCGGGGGCTAGGACTCGGAGCTGCTGCCCCTCCTCTGGTCCCAAGCAGGGCCGGGGCAAGTGAGGGATGGACCAGAGAGCTGTCCTGGGGGCAGGGAGGCCCGGTTGCCCTCCCAGCCCTGTGAAGCAAGGCCCGCACTGAGGGAGATGTGATGGGGGCGCCCGGCTCCACTGTGCGGGGGCCCTTCCCCTCGGACCACGGGATGCTGCGTGGCACCTCGCTGTGAATGCGGGCAGCCACGGGCCCCTCTCTGGGCTCGCCTGGCAGCGGCTTGGCTCTGTGACCCAATGCCCTTGGCCACTAGCAGGTGAAGGGGAGTCTTCTGGGAGGGTTCATGGGGAAAAGCCCAGTTGAATCCTTCCCCACACTGGTTTATCCCTGGGGCATTTGGAAAGTTCAGGAACTTGTGGGGGTGGTTTCCTCACTCCTCTCTTGCTCTCCAACTTGTGCCAGGCGGAGAAGAGTCGCAGGACCATTGCCCCCGTCCTCATTTCCCGCTGGAGACAGAGGTGGTCACGTCGGGGTTCTCACCTTTAGGACAGCTTTGGCTGCCAGTGAAAGCGTGGCTTTCCCTTCTGTGACCTCGTAGAAAACCTGTTATTCACATGCAGGAGGACACGGGAGCAGCAGCACGGAGGCGGCGAGCGTGTCCTCAGTTTCAGCCATGCTGCAGACTTCAGAGCTTGTCACCAGCAATGGTTCCCAGTGACCGTCCGTTGGCGGAGCCGCTTTGCGAGCAGCATCGCTGTACGTGCTGACACGTCCTGGCCCCGCGCTCCCACGCCTTGCTGCTTCCCCTCGCCTGCCCGGTGCCTGCCGTGCAGCCCTGGCCACGCTGGAGCATCCCAATGGCCCCTTCCTGCTCTGCGGGTGTCCGGTTGGGGTCCGCAGGGGCCTTGCAAGGGCAGCCGCTCAGGGGGGTCAGAGCCCAGGGGATGTGGCTTTCCGTGCCCCGCAGGTTGATGCCCAGCACAGGCTCTTCTCGGCGCAAGGCTTTGGGAGCAGGGTGGCACGACACTTCCTTTTGTATCACTTGCTCGCCAGGGCCAGGCTTGGACCCTTGTGCCGTCTCTCGTGTCCCTGGGGCTGCTCCTCCTCCCGTGGCCTTTGAAGAGGTGTCTGCGCCCAGCTGTGCCAGCCCAGAGGGACTCTCACTCCCGCTGACCTGTGCGCACTGCGAGCAGCCTGTGGCACACGGGGCACATGTACGTGTGTGTGCGTGCACCTCCCTTGGGGCTGCGGGGATTTTCCTTCGTACTCTCCGGGCTGGCAACAGCGTTCGGGTGCTGCCAGGCTGTGGGGCAAACGCTGGGGTGACGGGGTGGGAGGAGGCTCCCTGCCGGCGCACCCCAGCCTGCGGGCTGGCAGCAGGCCCGAAAAGGGAAGTTGCTGGGAGGCGTCAGCAGCCACACGAGCTGAGAGGCTTCGCCACCCCAGCCAGAGCGAAGGCCTGGCAGCACGGCCGGAGCCACGGCGCCCACACGCAGCCTGCCTCGCAGCCGGACGCAGCTAGCCCTGTTAGTCTGAAGCGGGGTAGAAGGAAGCGTAGCTTTGCACCTTGTGGTCTAACCGCAGCAGAGATGCATGTATTGATGCAGGCACAAGCTGGCGTGGGCTGAGGCTGGGCCCAGCGGGGCGCGGGGCTGCGAGGCGACAAGCCTTGTCAGGGCTGACAAATACAAGAAATGCAACTAGAAACCCAGCCTTTGGCAGTGTGTGGCTGGGGAGGTGTCTGGAGCCAGGACCAGGCCCCCTTGCCCAGCTGGCTTCAACCGGGCCGGCTGCATCCCTGGCGAGCGGCCTCGTACCCGCACCCACCGGCCTGGCACTGCCTGTGCCCGCTCCGCGCTGGGGTGCTGGCCTTGCCCTGCTGCGCCCTGCAGAGCCCCCGGGCTCACGGACCCTCTTGCCCCCGTGCAGCTGCTGGCCGTGGGAGCCTGGCCCTCAGCGCCTGCTCCAGCAAGGGACCTGGGGCAAAGTGGGCGGCTGGGGGAGGAGTGTTTC